TCTTAATATGGATGACATTAATCGTCACTTTGTTTCTATTACTTCATTGGACCCTCAAGTCCGTTCTCAAACTATTGCTTCTATAGAATCAATGCAGCCTCTCCGTGTCCCTGATTTTTATTTCTCCCCTGTTACTCAGGATGAAATAAAAAAAAGCTCTGTTAGGCATTAAATCTAAGGCTGTGGGTTATGATGCAATTAGAAAGCGAATGATATCTATGATACTTGAGTACCTACTTCCAGCTATAACACACATTATAAATTATTCTCTGGACTCAGGTCAATACCCTTCTGCATGGAAAAAGGCTTTTATACGACCCCTTCCTAAAATACCTAATCCTATACTCCCTAACCATTTTCGTCCTATCTCAATTCTCCCATACCTCTCTAAAGTTCTGGAAGCCTGTGTTTTTAAGCGAATATCTGTGTTCATTGCAAAACATAACCTGCTGAATGAATTTCAATCGGGGTTTCGCTCTGGTCACAGCACTACCACTTCGCTTATCAAAGTCACAGACGATATAAGAAAAGGCTTGGATGAGCAGAAATTAACAGTGGTAGTGCTTATTGACTTTTCAAACGCTTTCAACACGGTAGATCATAGTATCCTTCTCTCTATCTTCAAACACCTTAAATTTTCATCCCCAGGCTTGGAGTGGTTCTTTTCTTATATTCGCGACTGCCAGCAATCGGTTCGTTCAGGTCAGCGTTTTTCTGCATGGGGTGAAATTGAATCTGGTGTGCCGCAAGGCGGAGTACTTTTATTATGTTTTCCTTATTTATAAACTCTATCTCCTCAGTTTTAGATTGTTCGTACCATCTGTATGCAGATGATCTTCAGGTCTATGTGCAGTCAGACTTAAATAACCTTAACTATGTAGTACATAAACTAAATAATAACCTGGAAGCCATAAGAGAATGGTCGTATAAATATCCAGGTCGTATAAAAATCCAGTTAATCCAGCCAAATGCAAAGCTATAATCTTCGGAAGTTCACAATTATTGGTTAAGATTGATTATGGAAATCTCTCTCCTGTAATTTATAATGGAACTCTGATTCCATATTGTAATTCCATAAAAAATCTTGGCTTGTACATGGACAAAACTATGATCTAGAAATTACAGATCTCTGAATTAAGTCGTAAAGTTGTTGCCACTTTGCGTTCCCTTTATCGTCTTAAAAATTTCCTACCTTTCAAAACCAAGCTTACACTTGTTCATTCCCTCATTCTACCTATTATAGATTATGCAGATGTATGTTACCCAGATTTGTCACAAAATCTTCTAAACAAGTTGGAGTGCCTTTTTAGTAATTCCATAAGGTTTATTTTCGGTTTACGTAAGTATGACCACATATCTTTCTATCGTTCAAAGCTTAAATGGCTACCTATACGTCAAAGGCGATGCTCTAGAATATTACTTGTACTTTATTCAATTTTAAACGATCCAAGGACGCCTTCTTATCTCAAGGATAACTTTCATTTTCTTCATTCGATTGACGGTCGAATACCACGACAAACAAACCGTCTGAGGATAAGGTTTCCACAGCATAGGTCTAATTTTTTCAGGTCCTCGTTTACGATACAAGTACATCTTTGGAACGCCCTCCCCAATGATATTAAGAATGCTACAAATAGAAACTCATTTAAATTACTTCTACGACACCATTACCTGAAGGCACTTACTAACTGACATTTTTCTTTCTTCAAATATTTATTTATTTATATATTAATACGGATATTTATAAAGTTTATAAGCATGTATACACATTACATGTATATGTATGTATGTATTATTGTATGTAAATATATGTTATGTATATTTAAATATATATTTATTTAAATACATGTTTTGTATGTATGTACTATGTATATATTATATTTTAATATAAATACACTTTATTTATGTATTATGTTTCGCACCTGCCTACAATTGTCTTTGGCACCCAGGGTTGACTGGCAGAGAATGCCATATGGCATTAAGTCCGCCCTATGTACCCTTTACTTTAAGGTGATACATTTAAGTTTTTAAATAAAAAATAAATAAATTTAATGAATGGGCGACAGTAGGAATTTATAAAAGTAGACGAAAGTTATATGAGCTTTATAAGGAAAGATCATATAATAGTAGTGTTATATTTAGAGATTATATAAAAACATATTCTAAAATATTTATAAAAGTGTGCTCCACAGCTAAGGCTTTACATTTAAGTAACAAAATTAAAACTGTATCTAACAAAATTAAAATGACCTGGAAAATAATAAATAGTGAAACGGGCAAGGTCAAACCGCGAAACTCTGGTTTTCAATTGAATATTAACAATAATTTAACTCGATCTGATCAAGAAGTTGCTATGGCTTTTGAGAAACATTTTACTGATGTTCCTTTTTGACAACTAAATCATTAAATTCTTCTCCTACTGTCGCCGAATCATTGCTTAAACAAAATGTAAAGACTTGTTCAAATACTTTTAAATTCCATAGAGTACTGCCAAAAGATATCGTTAAATATTTTAAAACTATTAAATTCCCGATAAAGTTATTTTATCTATAATAGATATAATAGCACCTTATCTAGGCACTACATTTAATACAAGCGTCGAATCTGGTGTGTTTTCTGATTTAATGAAACATAGTAAAGTCATACTTTTATTTAAATCTGGTAGTACATTAGACCCCGCCAATTTTAGATCAATTTCTGTACTACCAACATTTGGTAAAATTTTTGAAAAAATAATTTAAATGATGTTAAGTTTCTTTAATATTAATAAATTGCTCCATAAAAATCAATTCGGTTTTACAAGGGGTCGCTCGACAACTGACGCTGGAGTTGAGCTTATTAAACATATTTTTTGTGCATGGGAGAATTCAGAGGATGCTTTGGGTATATTTTGTGACCTTTCCAAGGCCTTCGACTGCGTTCACCATGAGACATTAATCTGGAAGCTACAGTAGTATGGTGTCAAGAACACAGCGCTTAAACTTATTATTTCATATTTAAGTAATAGAAAACAGAAGGTTATTATCAATGCTAAAAGTTCTTCCGGGTCACGTGTACTAATGGGTGTCCCTCAGGGCTCCATTCTCAGCCCATTTCTATTTCTAGTGTATATTAATGACTTACCTTCTCTTGTAGGGGATAATCATGATATAGTATTATTTGCTGATGATACTTCCTTGATTTTTAAACTTAAACGTCAATCATTTAAATGTGACGAAGTGAATAATGCTATATCAAAATTAGTGCATTGGTTTAACGTTAATAATCTACATTTAAACGGAAATAAAACTAAATGTATTAAATTTACAACAACGAATGTTAAAAATCTGAGTACCAATGTGTTTTTGAATGGGAAAGAACTGAGCCCTATTGAATCCACTGTTTTTCTTGGCATCACTCTCGACGCAAAGCTTCAGTGGGGCCCCCATAGGTCCAAACTAGCAAGCAAACTAAGTTCTGCAGCCTATGCTGTAAAAAAGATTAGAGGTCTCACTAGTGTCGAGACAGCTAGATTAGTTTATTTCAGTTATTTCCATAGCATAATGTCTTATGGGATGTTGCTATGGGGAAATGCGGCTGATTCAGAAACTATTTTTGTTTTACAGAAGAGGGCCATTAGAGCTATTTACAACCTAAAACCGAGAGAGTCTCTTAGAGATAAATTTAAAGAAATAAATATATTAACTTTGGCCTCTCAGTATATTTACAAAAATTTAATGTATGTTCACAAAAACAAAGGTAGTTTTAGTAAAAAAAGTGATGTACATTCTGTAAACACTAGGAACAAACACAAGCTAGTGATACCAGTTTCGCGACTCCACAGAGTCAGTAATTCATTCTTGGGGCAATGTATACGCTTTTACAACAGGGTCCCGGAAAGTGTACAGGCTCTCTCTATTACCAAGTTTAAATGTTTTGTTAAGTTGTAACTGTATAAAAAGGGTTATTATGGTTCTGTAATATATAATGTACTCTGTGATTATAGTATAAATGAATATACTCGTATGGTTGTTAATAACCCCTGGGAATGAGGTGGTTCCAAGCTGTTTCTAAAATAAATTTTGTACCAACCATTAATGTAAAATATGGTTTTAAAAAAAAGTCCCGCTGGGTTTCTTACTGGTACTTCTCAGGATAGAGGTTTTTTTTTCGAACTAGTGGTAAAGTAAAAAATGACTTTCAATAAGAATTACACATGTGATCTATATTGAATAAAAAATTATTCTATTCTATTCATGATTGTGAGAGTGGCGTAGCTAGGTATGGGCGAAGTGAGCCCTCGCCCACTGCCTCGCACTTAAAGGGGCCTCGCGAGGCCCCCTAAAATGGGATGCCCTCAGACTTTACCACAGATGACTAATTAATTTGATCATTTTTACGCTCGAAAAAGAAAGTCACAAATTTAAGTGTGTTTGTTTGTGGCCTCGCAAGAAGCCCCTCTTAAATGCGACTTACGAGGAGAATAACTTTTTCTCCCCTTGCGTTTGCCGCTACCGTATTGGCGCTGTCATATTAATTGGCGGAGTCTGACGCATATCGGCGGACTCCATCGCATACCAGCGCCTGCGTGTTCTTCAATACCGCAGGGAGAAATTGGCTGCTATAGACCGGGGTCGGTCACCGAGCATAGAATTTCATACGTTATTTCAATTAAAATAGCATAGAATATACATCGATAAATGTAATATCTTCTGCCGTCCCGTCTGCCGAATTGCGCAGGGCCTTGCGCGGCAGAATTTGTGGCTTGGCAAAATTTGAAAAAGTGAATATATTCTACAACCGTATAGGATTTCTGTCCACAATGATAATAAATTAAAAAATCTGCTCAACACTGAGCTTGTTAGCACGAAGCTGCCATTTGAGAACCTTTTATGTCGATGAACCGACAACCAACTAGGATGAAATTCAACTTCAACCTATTGATAATAATCAATTTACAGTATGAGGATGTAAATACCTATACAAAGAAAACACACTTTTGTTTTTTAATTTTCTTTATTGTCACAATTTGTTTCACAGGATCATACAAAATTAGAGACTATTGCTATTTTTTAAGTCAGCACGCTTGTGTTTTGTATTTCAAAACATCTGTAATATGTGGTGCTGATATAATGCCTTACTAAGAACTTAATACATTCAAGTATTTTTTATAGTACCTGTACAAAATGTGTTTTGTGAGTTTGAATTTTTAATATACACACTATAAACTCACAGCCACCCATAAATATTTTTATCTAGAAAACCTTAACATTTAATGTATATGTAATCACAATGTAAACAAGTTTAGATTCTCCCGTGCTACGGATGCATCAGTGCGTCTTGTCTACTTCACTTTTTGGACAACAAACACCAGCGTAACTGAAAAAAAAAAAACTTTTGTTAAGATGAATACTATTTATTATCTTATGTGGAAAAATACCAAGTCTGCAGTCTGCAAACATGTTCAAGTTCTCCTCTACCGCCATTACATTAGATTTAATAGACCATACATATGCGAAAGGAACACAAATTCCTAACAAAAAATATTATGAGGCTTTTGATATTAAAATCCTGAACTCCTCTGGATTTCAATAGAGAATATAACTGGATGCTAACATTTGCTTGGGATTCAGTGATTAAATCCAGAATATACCTACACTGAATACTTCTTGATCTACGCGAAAAGAGATTACTGTAGTAAGCCCATTTTGCGTGAAAATTTAACACGATAAAATTGATAATAATTAGTATTGATGAAAATTATAATGTCCTCTACACCAAATATCATTATTCAGATCAAAATTATACTATTTTAAATGAATGACAAGAGATGTTATATAATTATGAGCTTAAGGGCAGTGGCGTGGTTTTAGTGGGAGTAGTCGACCATTGTGGTCGGTTTAGTTCGAAGCTAAAAATAATATTTTGTCTAACATAGACTTAGGCGGCACCGTATTCTTCTGATGTCATTGCAAATATTGCGAACATATTGGGAAAGGCGCCTTCTTGTTCACGGAGGTGACTTCGACAAATTCTGTCTAAATGAGGAGAGAAGTCCAGCAACATTAACAAATACATAGTTAGCGACTATTGTTTCTTTATTAAGTCATCATTATCCAACTGTCAGGTCCCCAATTAAAACCCAAACAAGAAATACATCATTTTATTGGATTTTTATTATGAAGGTAAGTGGATACTGTGGCCCATAGAGATCTACATTTATCTTTGATATAAAATCAAAATGCAGATGCGTTGTCAGGTTGTCACCTTTGAGGACTACGGTGGAATGACTCGTTTCCAGTAAAAAGGGTCTCCGGTTCTCTACACTCACCATACGATACACAGCAGCATCAAGCTGCTATTTTGCGCTGGTATTCTGTGAGAGCGTGGTCCTTCCCCGGGCGAGCCGAACCATTCGTGCTACAACTATACTATAAATATGGCTGCTGCTTGACTCTACCACGTAAATAGTTGATAATTTGCATGAATTTTTTTCAATATATTTATTTATTTATATTTTATTCAATATACTTTACATGACGCTAGGGATTGACTTAACTATATCAAAATTAATGTTGACATTTTTAAAGTCGCTGGTATTCTGTGAGGGCGTGGTCCTTCCCCGGTCGAGTTGACCTATTCGTGCTACAACCATAAAAAATCGGTTTTATTAGTAGTAGCTTTATTAGTAGTTATCATCTGAGGATCGCTGAGGAATGAGAATGTCTGGTCTAGCGTGTATATACCTGCAGAATTTTTTTAACATATTGTAAGCCAGTGCTTGACCACAATCCCACCTGGTCGTAAGTGGTGATGCAAATTTAGATGGTAAATCACACTGTCTTAGCGTAACAAAAGCCAATTCATTCTTGCCTTGAAGACGCCCAGATTGTAATCGGCCGGAAAGATATACGCTGGCAAATCATTCCACTCCTTTGCTGTACGCATTACAAAAGACAAAGAAAACTATTTGGTTCTAACACGTGGAATATCGACAAAAAGGGGGTGAAGACCCGCCGACCACCTGGTTGTCCGATGGTGGAAAGGAGAGGGAGGAATTAAAGCGTGTAATTCCTGCGCACACTCATCGAAATGCATCCTATAGAATACCGAGAGACTGGCTACTCTGCGCCTGTGGTCGAGGCTGACAAGATTGTTATCAACCAAATCAAGGTCACCAATGAGCCTCAGCACGTCTCTCCACTGAGTCCAACGCTGCCATTATTATATGGCATTATTATATATCTAGAACAGCTTATAGCTGAATGAGTGTTCAAAAGGTTGTTACTGTTGTTGAAATCGGTTAGAAGAAGAAGAACTCAAATTATGTATATATATATAGAATATATATATATATATATATATATATTCTTAAGAAAATGAACATGTTATTAAAATCCGAAATCCAATTTTGACGGTTCCGTGACTCAATGACTTAGTTTTGGTTGTGGCATCGGTTTGAATACCGCATAGTACAAGTATTTTTATGAGCTACAAATAATTGTTTTGGGCCTGAATAAATGTCTTTGTGCAATTTATGTTTGGAAACTGGTAGAGGTAACATTTTTGGTTTAAATAAATTTATTTTCAAAAAGACTACTAATGCCACTAACATGAAAATAATTATTTTAGTAATTTTATTCTAATGGTCGCCGAACACTCATTCAATAGTTTCACAGCCTCAATTAACTTTTTTAACATGTTCAATTATATACTGAGACAGCTGCGACTGTCAAACAGATTTTATTTAAAAAGACCGTACCCATCGCTGACTACGCAGTAGGCGCGGCTGTAGACGTCGACGGTGATGCTTTGGGCCGCGTCACATCGCGTCAGATACACGCACAGGCCTGCCGAGTTGTCTGTTGCACTTGGGCATTCGGTGTCGCCGCCCTCAGCCTTAGGAGCCTGTTGCAAAAAAAAAAATAGGTGTACAAAAAATTTAATGAAATTAAAAAAAACGAGCAGTACAATATGCAGCATATTATCATCATTATCAGCAATTTGAAATTGAAGGACCATAATCTAGAATATGGCAATTGAGAAATATTACAGTATAAAAAGATATAACTGTACTTCCTACGTTAACAGTACGTAATACAGCCCCCGCATATTTTATTTTATTTATTTATTTATTTATTTATTTACTTAATAACAACCTTTTTATATAAGTTCATTGATTCCCTGGTCCCTGAGCTAGTGTAACTGTTTCAGGAACCAGTTCCTCCCCTTGAAGTTAGCCTTGTCAAAAGGTCAATTTCTATATAATAATAATAATTTAGTTATTTAGTAAGTTAAACAAGTACAGAAATATATATATATAATCTTTTTTAAATGTTATTTTTAGCGCCTGTTTTGTGTGTGTGTGTGTGTGTGTGTGTGTGTGTGTGTGTGTGTGTGTGTGTGTGTGTGTATTCGTGTGTTGGTGTGTGTGTGTGTGTGTGTGTGTGTGTGTGTGTGTGTGTGTGTGTGTGTGTGTGTGTGTGTGTTGAAATATATAAAATAGTATAACTTATTGTACAAATGCGGGGCAATGTAACTATAGTGTCTTTTCGCAAAAATACTTCTTGTTCTAGGGGTCGGGTATTTGAATGTCCTTTTCTTTGGAATTTTGATACATGGTGCAGTTATACGATGGTACCTTCGTATGCATTGATAGATAAAAAGTTTTCTTACGCTTAGTACTCGAGTTTTTTCATACACTAATGTAGTTGGATAACGAAATGGAAGTAATAGCATTACTTTTAAAATACATCGTTGGGCACGTTCAGCTTCAACAAGAATTGTCTTACAAACTCCACCCCATGAACAGATACCATAACATATTAAAGATTCACAGAGAGTCCTGTAAGTTTGCAACAGTAACTTTGGACTTGCTACAAATCTTAGTAACTTAAAAACATAGACAAGCTTTCTTATCTTTTTACTAAGTGATAATATTTGATGTTTCCACTGAAGCTTTTCGTCAATTGTAATTCCCAAATATTTTATTGTGTTAGTTTTAGTTATGTAAGGGCAGTTACAAGATATTTGAACATCATCAAGTTTGTTACATGGACTTGTATGAATCTTTAGTTCAAATTTGTCATTTGGTTGACCCGCTAGAGTTTTGCTGAAACAGATTAATTTTGTTTTGGTTGTATTTAGTGAAAGTAGATTATTTTCTAGCCAGCAAGAAATTTTGGCCAGTCCCGCAACCTCAGCAACTTGTTTCACACGCTCCCAGCTCTTTGCATGAAATATTATTACGGTGTCGTCAGCATACATAGTTAAATTGCCGGCGTTTAATTCAATTTTACTCATGTCATTTACGTAAGTTAAAAATAATGTTGTTCCGAGAGTACTGCCCTGTGGGACACCGTATGTGCATCGCATGTCATTACTGGAATATCCATCCACTCTAACGCACTGCTTTCTGTCACATAAATAACTTTGAAACCATTGCAGTGCAGTCCCTCTTATACCCATGTTCTCCAACCTCCGCAAAAGAATCGATGTTGACACTGTGTCAAAGACCTTTTGTAGGTCAATAAAAACACCTACACATCTGTCACCCTCATTTACGTACTTATTTACTTGTGAGGTCACGTTTAGTATACAGTCTTCCGTTGACTTACCGGTTCTAAAGCCAAATTGATTGGGAGATAGTAACTTATTGGATTCTAGATAACCAATTAGCCTCTTGTTAATAATCTTTTCTACAATTTTGGACATGACACTTAATAAAGCGGTTACAAACAAGGGTTTTATCACCTGCCTTATGAATAGGCGACACAGTGGCTTTCTTAAATATCTCACGGAAAACTCCTGATGAGAAACTAAGATTACATAGATGCGATATTGGGTCCGCTAGAATACTATGAAACATTTTTAACATTCTCGTAGGAATTTGATCATGACCTGCAGCACTATTATTCTTAAGATTCAATATCACGCATCTTACTTCTACTGGGTCAGTTGGTAACAGTAGCATGGAGTTTTTAGGACTATTGTTATTAGTTGCTTCTCGTGTTAAATCTGCCTCGCTTTTATTTAACTTATTAAGGGTCCCGTTGGCAAGGATTTTACCAATCGATGTAAAGTACTTATTGACCTCATTAACGGAGTCAGTTGAATTTTCTTTGATTCTTAATAGTTCCATAGATTTCGATTTTTGGTTTATTCAGATTACACAATTCTTTAATAGTTTTCCATGTTTCTTTGCTGTTTCTTGCATGTTTTTCGAGTTGAGATTGGTAATAGTTACACTTTAATGTTTTTATAATCTTGTTACAAACATTTTTATACTGTATATAGTAGTTTTTAAGGTCTTCATCATTTATATTATTTTTAAGTCTTTTATGAATTTTATCTCGCTTTCGTATAGATCTTACAACACCAGCGTTGATCAAAGGTTTTAATGGCCTATTTCTATTGGGAATTTTTTTAGTTTCTGTGTTTATTGTAATAATTTTTTGCAACAATGTGATTAAGTACTGAGCCGCATCATTAGCTGATTGTACATTATAAAACTTTATATAAGGCTTTAAACATGGCATATTTTGTAGATTTCTCGTCATTGTTCACCAGAACCTTATTCAATAATTAGCTAGACTTCAAAATATAATTAATAGAATCAGGCGTTACGCGTATTTTATGCGCTGCCATACCATTCTTCACTTTGTCAACTTATCGCTTGCACAATTTGCGCGAAGGTTATAGTCTTAGTACAATCAACTTAAAAAAAAATTAACTTAACTAACACTAGGTGGCGCGCGTATCGTACCGATGAATTTATTTGGAAGTCTTATATCATTCAATTTCAATGAATGTAATAAATCTAAGTAAGTCCTAATTAAATAATATAACCCTTTCAAATTTCCACAATTTTGCACGCTTCATAAAGCGAAGCGTTATTAGGTAGTGCATTACTCTAGTCTCGACAGCAATTTTGTGGTCTTAAAATGCTTCTATTATAACCATATTGCACATATATGATAATATACTCATATTAAGACGTATATCAAGAAAACACTAATTAATCCATCTTATATTTTCCAAAACAAAATAATTTTATATTGCTACTTTGATAATAAACGGTTTGAAAAAAAATTTACGTGGAAGTCCGGATATTGATGTCGTATGTGGTTACGATAACTCCCCGGAGAGACCGGGTTTTTTTATTAGCTTGAGAATTACATCAACTGGTTCCCAATTTCATATCAATAGCCTAGTACACGTCGTTTGTTAATAAAATGATTTTCAAGTTTTATTGCTATTAAAAATTTTAAGGCGCTTTCATTTTTTTTGTTTAACCCTTGATAGACAAAGGAAAAATATACCATACAGTCTATATCGATTTATAATGTAATCGATTTATTTTGGTAATTAATTTTTTTCATCAAAACTAAATGAGGCGTGCACTTTTGGATTTTTCAAACTATTTTCTTCTGCGGCAGCAATACGCCGGGAGCTGGTCCATTATAAAAGAGATTTTAAAAACTAATTAGCTAAGATCCGCGTAATAAAACAAAATGATCTTCAAACGAGCGAATTTAATTTTTACTATCTTTAATAGACTTCATAATATAAACTTAAAAATATAATTTAATAGCTATTATAACATAGCAGCGATCACAATAGATCTTTTAGGTCGCAGTGATACTGGTCTCTCTCTCTCTCTAGAACTGCATAGCTGCTCGTACATAAAAAAATATAAATTTAAAAATATAACTTACAGCGGAATCTTTCGTAAGCTTAAGGGTCACTTGGGTCCCGTTGGTTTGTAGTGTGATGCAGTCAGAAGTGTTGTTCAACAAAGATACCGCCCATTGGTAACTGCTCAAATGATATGCTGCTAGAGGGCTTAATGTAGCAGACAGCGACGCAGGCGTGGTAGAGACAGGTATGATACCTACACGACAGAAAATGTTTTAAGTAACAGAAAAATTCGGCATAATATAGACTTGATTGATAACAATTACAAGCTTTATTAGGTAATGTAAATAATTATATAAAAGAAAATATCATTGGCAGCAGCATTTATAGGTTTAATTTTTTTTAGATTCAAAGGTAGTGGACTACACAGGAAACCTGTTAGAACAAAAAAACGTTAATTCCAAGTAACATAGAAATGCTGAGTAAAATTGTGTATCTAAATTAATATAATAAAAAATTTGATCGATTAATGTCTGAGTAAACTACTATTCAGCAGTTTGGGCAGTACACTTGAAGTATACTTTCGGCTTGATAACTTCTGGAAAAAAGCTGACGTTGCTTTTGCTTAGATATGTTATCCAGTTGTTTACTCGGAAAATGATAATTGATATTTTTGCACTAGTGGCAGTGAATAATAATGACGGAAACTGACTAGACTTTAGAACTGACACCCCAAACAAAATCTGTGCGGCATTGCGTGTGTGTGGTTGATGATTGAAGTGACGTCTCTTCTAATACGTAGTACCTACATATTTATTCAATGCATTTAACTTATTTTTTTCTAACTATGCAAACCGTTTTAATTGATAAGTAGTAAAACATAATAATATGGTGTTCAATTTGTATAACTTGGATATCACAGAATGGTGATGCGGAACAGCGTTATAAGTGCGCAGGTACCGGCTCTGTGCTACACATTCCGTGTATAGCTGATGAATGAGTCGTGTCGAGCTAGTAAGCATCATGCTCATACAGAAAATCCGCGTAAAATATTAGCACAACTCTGCTGTCTTCAATAGTGAGTGACGAGAACCGGATACCCTATTTACCGGTAATATGGAATATCTTAGTAGGAGTAATACCTCAGGAATGACTAGACATTTCCATTTTGATTGTTATATATATTTAAAAAAATTGAGGATAAATGTTGGTAACATCAAATGAACTGTGTATTTGTCACCATTACTAAAAGAAACAAGTGGTAAAATTAAAAAGATTGTACAACCGACTTCAATATAAATAAAATGAGAACACCATCAGTGTAGTTGAAGTCAATTAAAGGCGCATTATTAAGGATAACTCAAAAACTATTTTTCAGGTCTTGATCAAATTTATATGCGACCACATGAGAAGCACCAGATTTCAAATAAAAAAAGAATCATCAAAATCAGTTCAAAAAGTTCTGAGTAACGCACTTAAAATTATTTTTTATTTTATTTTATAGGAGGGGGCAAACGAGCATGCAGCTCACCTGATGGTAAGTGACTACCGCCGCCCATGAACAACCGCAACACCAGGGGAATTACAGATGCGTTGCCGGCCTTTAAAAAGGAGTAGGCTCTTTTCTTGAAGGTCCCTAAGTCGTATCCGTCCGGAAAAATCGCTGGCGGTAAACTATTCCACAAGGAAGTTGTGCGAGGAAGAAAACATCTTCTAAATCGCACAGTGGTGGACCGCCAATCGTCCAGATGATGTGGATGGTATCGCGAGTTCTGCCGCGATGTGCGTTCGTGAAATTTGGCGGCTGGGATTAATCCGAACAATTCCTCAGAGCACTCCCCGTGGTACAAGCGAAAGAAAATGCAAAGAGATGCAACATCTCTTCGCAGCGCAAATGAGTCGAGCCGATCGGAAAGGACTCGGTCGTCGAGAATTCGAGCCACTCTACGCTGGATGCGGTCAAGTGGAAGGAGCTGGCACTGGGGAACCCCAGCTCAGAGATGGGAACAGTATTCCATGTGAGGTGATAGCACCCAGCCTTGTGGAACACCAGCGTTAATAGGCTTGTAGTCGGAGCATGCACCGTCTACAACGACCTTGATGCTCCGATGTGCAAGAAAGCTGGTGATCCAATTGCATAATTTCTCGGGGAGCCCATAGGAAGGGAGCTTCGAAAGAAGCGCTTTGTGCCAAACCCGATCGAAGGCCTTCGCAATGTTTAAACTAACGGCCAATGCCTCCCCCTTGGACTCTACTGCCTCCGTCCATCTATGAGTTAAGTAGACCAGAAGATCACCAGCTGATCGACCCCGACGAAAACCGTACTGGCGGTCACTAATCAGCTGGTGATCCTCAAAGTACCGCTTGAGGTGGTAGTTTATAACGGATTCCATTATTTTGGAGAACAAGGGAGTGATGGCGATAGGCCTGTAGTTGGACGGGTCTGAGCGGTCGCCTTTTTTAGGAATCGGGTGGACAAAAAGTGTCTTCCATGAATTCGGGACTACGCCTTGGGAGTAGGAGTACCGGAAAAGACACGTTCGAACCGGTGCCAACTCCGGAGCACACGTCCTCGTCCTCAGCACAATTGGGGGGATTCCGTCAGGCCCTACTCGACCCGAGGATGTCAAGGGAGAGGAGTGCTCTGTGAACCGAGCGCTGTGAGAACTGCACATCCGGCATGGAGCACTCACACCGCGGGATGGTCGGCGGTGTGTTCCCCCCGTCATCAACAGTCGAGTTGGACGCAAAAAGGGAGCCTAAAAGGTCGGCTTTCTCTTTTGCGTCGTGGACCAGTGAGTCGTCCCTCCTGTACAGAGATGGTAGTGATGGCTTACAGAAATTCCCTTGGACAGCCTTGGCGAGAGACCAGAATGCACGGGTTCCCGAAGGAAGGCGAACTAGTTTCTCGCCAATTCTGCCTATGTGCTCTGACTTTGCCTTGGCAATAACTCTTTTGAAGGACCTGGAGGCAAAGTTATACTTCTTTTTAAGTATGCTGGTGTTTACATCCCGAGTCACCGAAGCCGCAGCCCAGGCTTGATAACACTCCTGCTTACTGCGTAATGCAGTCTTACAGGAGCGACCAAACCAAGGCTGAGATCTGCCTCCGATGGGTACCACAGATGATGGAATAAATAGTTCCATTCCCTGTAGCAACACATCAGTGACAGAGTCAGCAACAGCGCTGGGATCATCCGGCGAGAAGCAAACCCGCCCCCATGGGTAGGAAGCAAAGAAAGACCGCATTCCGTCCCAATCCGCCGACCTGTAATGCCAAACACGGCGGCAACCTACAGAACGCAACCGTGAGGGGAGCGTGAGTGGCACCACACTCCGGATCAGACAATGGTCCGCAGAGCCAAGAGGGGCATCGACGGAAACCTGATATCCGTCCGGATGAGAGGTCAGCAGAAAGTCCAACAGGGAAGGTGTATGATCCTCAACATCTGGAATCCGCGTAGGCGAAGTAACCAGTTGTGTCAGACCATATGCCAAGGCAAAGTCATAAACAGATCTCCCCGCATGATCGGTTAAACGTGAACCGAGCCATTCGGCGTGGTGGGCGTTTAAATCGCCAAGGATCACGATCTCTGCGGAAGGGACCTGTTGTAGCAAGGAATCTGTAGCCATTTGGACGTGGTCGATGAGTCGGTCTGTTTCGGTATTACCGCTATGGGACCTATAGAGGTACACGTAGACGCGCGGATGGTCGTCGCTGTCTACGCGTAGCCAAAGGATGGACAGGTCCGAACCTTCAAGACTGCCGAGGCGTCGAGAACAGATGTCCTCTCTGACATACACGCAAACTCCAGCCCGAGGCACAAAGGAGTGCTCCAATTTGTATATCAATAATAATAATATGTAAATCAATATATCAATACGAAGTATCAGCCGGAGGGGACACCTGCGTCTCGGTCAGAAAGAGCAAGGCCGGCTTCGCCGTCTCGAGATGGTAGTGGACGGCGTTTAGGTTCGAGTGAAGTCCCCTGATGTTGCAGAAATTCACGGATAGCGTAGTAGGAGTCGCCTTGGTCTTGTTGCTCAGTTTGCCCCGAGCAGTTATTGTGTTGGGCGGAATTTCGCCCCCCCCCCCCCCCAGAATATGCGGGGCAGCCTGAGCACCCACGATCAGGAGTGGAATAGCATGGTCGTGGATGCTCAGCGAGGGATTCTCCAGGGGTACTGGTACCCTCCTGGGATAGTTTATGATGTAATTCCGCTACCATGTTGATGGGGGGGGGGCGGGATTGGGCCTCCGGTCACCTGCAATCACCAGACGAAACGCAGAAGCAGAGCTTCCACTTCACGCCGGTATTCTGTGAGGTCGTGGTACTAACCCGGCTCATACGTGCAACAGCAAAAGCTGCTGCGTGCCTCTACCACCGTTAAAAGATCAGACAGAAGAAGAGAGTCCAATGGATGTCTCGCAACCGCGAGGCATTCCATTTTACGCATCGCATCTATGGTCTTTTTACGGCTTCGAAATGAGGATATCCGCAGTGGTACCAGAATAGCTGACATAGCCCAACGGACTAGTAAGCTGAAGTGGCTAAGGTGAAACCAGCCATATACGAGTAGCTCGAAGAACCGACAACCAATAGGGAAAAAAGATTTTCGAGTGGCCGCCTCGTATCGATAAGCAAAGTTGGGAGCGGGCCCCCACTGCGTGAACTCACGACCTGATAGGCGATGCAGGAAATCAATGGATGCAGATGGCTGAGGACCGTGCTTTGTGGCGCTCCTTGGGGAAGTCCTATATACAGCAATGGACTTGTAATGAATTTAAAAAATTGAAAGTACCTAAGTAAATGATTTCGTCAACACGCTGTAGAGCAGCGCAATTGATTGCAATTTTTTTGCGCATTAATTGCAAAGACAAATCGTCTCAGTAATATGAAGATGCCCGTGAACAGCAATAGGACGTATAAAAGGCTGTTAAGGTACTTTTTAATTGAAGTTGAAAGTATCACTTTTGCCCTTGTAATAGGTATGTGCTATTTAATTTTCTTTTATTTGATTGACATTCTAGTTATATGTACATCATAACGTTTTTACGATAAAGTTTACATTGCTTTAAATTACATTGCGATAAAGATCAGCAGTACAGTCCGTACGGATAAAGAATGGGATTAGAAATGGCGGCTCATCGAGCTCGTACCGTCAGCATGCACAGTACCAACAGCGAAAACCCGCTAATAACGGTATATCGTTATAACGTTATATGATTCGATTAATTGAATGTTGGTGGAGTTTATATACGTAAATTTCATAACGACAAACATCCAGACCCAGAACAATTATTTGTGGACCATACAAATATTTGTTCCGTCTGAGATTCGAATCTCTCTGAATCATTTTTGTCGCAAAAATATATAAAAAAAAGCTATTCGTAAATTCAATTATGCATGCCCTAAGCGCATTAAAAATTACGTATAACATAATTATATGGAAATTTTTAAACAAGTTTAAATACACACACGTTTTCATTAACAACCTTATTATACTTCCAATTTTCCAATATTTTTATGTCAAACTTTAACGCGATCTTCAACGCATAGACGCTCGTTGCGACAACACCGTTTAGTCATCTCTCTTCATTTTTATTTTGTAATTGCTAACAAAAGTTCATCATTACTTTCAAATTTAGTGCCATTTTAAAGCCAGTGAATCGACTGTTAACATAGTGAAAGTCGTTTTTAAATTTATTTACGCGGTCTGATACAGTGAAGCAAAACATTTTAAAAATATTTAGTTACTGTTCGCAACCTTGACCTACCTCACATAAACGATCAACTCATGCCCGTCGTAGCTGTTGCGTGTACGCAAAAAGCCGATACTTCCCGATTGTGCGCGATTTTTGCCGAGCTGGTTGTCTACGATTTTATAGTGCTACGAGCTTCCAAAGTACGGCACGGATAGTCCCGCCCACTTTGCTACGATACTTCTACGAGCCACCGCTGCACTTATTGCGTTACTGACTCGCCGAATCGAGCTATCAACAGGTTGTTTTCTTTTTGTATTTATATACTATATAAATATATTAATATGCCGAAAATCTGCTTGGGCTGCAAGCTTGATATAAAAAGCGATAATTACTGCAAATGTGCTTACTGCAAACAAACATGTCATGAGCTTTGTGCTAATTTACCACCCAGAAAATCTTCTAGTGAGCCCTCTCCAGTTTGGACTTGTCCAAGCTGTATCAGCAAGAGACCCAAGGGCGACAATACGGAGACACCAATAAGGCATAATCTCAAGAGCACTCAACCATCACCTAATTGGGTATCGCAGCGATCAAGAGGCAACAGGGTCAGTACTTCTCCAGTTGCTAGTGAACATGAAGCCCCTTCTCTCTACCCCACTGTCGATGAGATTAGGGATATCATACAGTCAGAACTAAAAAATATTTTAACGAAGGAGTTGACCATCTTGATTGAGAAAACGATTACGTCTGAACTTCGGGAAACTGTTTCTGATATTGCATGCTTAAGAAGTGATTTGCTTTCGCTTAAAACTTCTATGGATTTTATAAACTCACAATATGATGAAATCAAGGTTGATTTGAACAAAAAGACAGAATTATGTCATCGGTTGCAGAAGGAATGTATGGACTTGACCATCGCTAATAGGGAACTATCTGATCGTGTGGCACAAATAGAACAGCACTCTCGTGCCTCGAACTTAGAATTCCAATGTGTACCTGAACATAAATCAGAAAATCTGATGATACTGACTAAGCAGCTTGCAAAAACGGTCTCCTTCGACCTTAAAGAAGAAGATATTCACATGTGCACTAGAATTGCTAAGGCTAATCCTGCCACCACCAGACCTAGATCAATTATTGTCAAGTTACGCAGCCCTCTGATTCGTGATGGATTTTTAGCTTCAGTCATAAAATTCAACAAGAACCACCAATCGGACAAACTTAATTCTAGCCACTTGGGTATTGGAGGTGACAAGAAACCTGTATTTGTGACTGAGCATCTCTCTCCAAGTAACAAAGATCTGCATCGGGCTACCAGACTTAAGGCCAAAGAAAAGAACTACAAGTTCGTTTGGGTAAGAGGTGGCCGCATTTTTGTGAGAAAGTCGGAATCAGCTCCTGTTGTTGTTATTAAGAATTTATCATCGTTACAATACTTAACCGATTAGATTTCTTCTCATTTACTCATGTCTTGTTTTTTATGTATACCTGCACAAAATCTGCTGCCTTAAATTGTTATTACCAAAACAGTAGAGGCCTAAATACAAAAATTCATGAATTTTACAGTAACATGTGTATGAATGACTACGATATTGTTGTAATAACGGAAACCTGGCTACAAAATAACGTTAACGATTTAGAGTTATTTAACGATAATTATGCTGTATATAGACGAGACAGAGACTTAACTAAATCATTTTCAAAGAAGACTGGAGGTGGTGTAATGATTGCCGTCAATAGAAATTTTGACTCACATAGGATTAATAGAAATGAAAGCACTGGACTAATAGAAGATCTTTGGATTGTAGTTCATCTCAGAAATGGTAAAAACTTTATAAAACTATGCATATGTGCGGTCTATATACCACCTTCCGTTAATTCGAGGAACTATGAACAGTTTGTAGATAATATTAATAATAATCTTTCCGATTTTGATCACTCATTAGTAATTGGTGATTTTAACCTTCCTAATTTGGAGTGGCTGAAAAATGATAATGACCTATTTACTATTTTAAATGACTCTCAATGCCAATACTTTTATATGATCTCTGAGTTTATGGCCCTGAATAATCTTAAGCAGTTCAATTATATTAAAAACAAAAACTCGAAAATGCTTGATTTAATATTTTCATCAGAAAGTAACGTATGCGTTGGTGAAGCCGACGAAGCATTAACCGCTATTGATCTTTTTCATCCACCTCTTCTATTTGAAATTACTTTCCACTCCATCAATCATTTACACCCATCCCTACAACCTAGACCGAATTTCCACAAAGCTAACTATGAGTCGATTAAAAATGAATTGGATAGTGTTGATTGGCTCAATATATTTGCATTATGTGGGAATGTTGATGAAATGGTTACTCGTTTTTATGATGTATTGCGTGCTACTATAAGTAAACATGTTCCACTAACCACACCTAAAAACATTAAGTATCCAATTTGGTTTTCTAAAGGTCTTATAAGGAGTAATAAAGAAAAAAAGAAAATTAGACAAAGGGTTAAGAAATATAAAAATCCGATGGATAAAATTGCCCTAGACTTGCTAAAACAAAGAACAAAAAATTTAATGAAACAGTGCTATAATAGTTATTACAAACGCCTTGAACATAGTATAACCTCAAATCCTAAATATTTTTGGACATTTATAAAGCATAAGCGTAAAAATAGTAGCAATATACCATCCCGTATGCAATTAGATCATGAAACTGGAGTGGATGGAACAAGCATAAGTGAACTGTTTGCGAAAAATTTTTCATCTATTTATAGTAAAAGTCTAAATCCACAAGTTTGTTACCAAAAACGCGATGGCGTCCATTCATTTTCATTCTCGCTTAGTTCTATTATGCTGTCGGATAACTTAATTCTCAGGAGGTTAAAGAGACTTGACTTATATAAAGGTCCTGGCCCAGATGGATTACCGCCGTTGTTTATATATCAATGTGCAAAGCAACTATCATTGCCACTTACTTGTATCTTCAACGAATCTCTTAAAACTGGAATATTTCCTACCTACTGGAAAATGGCTAAAATTGTTCCCATTTACAAAGATGGTACTAAGAATAACATCACAAATTACAGACCAATATCCATTTTATCTATTTTTCCTAAAGTTTTTGAAAATTTAATCTACCCTTATGTTTATAATTTACTAAAATTTCAAATTACTGATCATCAACATGGTTTCCTTAGAAATAGGTCCACCACTACTAATTTAATTGCCTTCACCAATTATATTATCCAGCATGTTGATCAGGGTTCTCAGGTCGATGCTATCTATACTGATTTTAGCAAGGCATTTGATAAAGTTGATCATGAGATACTTTTGACAAAATTAAGTAGTTGTGGTATTGGCGGCCCTATTTTGGTTTGGTTTAGATCTTACTTAACTCTTCGCGAGTGTTATGTAGTTGTTAATGGGAAACAGTCTGAACCGTTTAGGGTAACCTCGGGTGTTCCTCAAGGGTCACATTTAGGGCCCCTTTTGTTTCTAATTTTGATCAACTCAGTGACAGAATGTTTTTTGAACACAGAGGTTTACCTGTTTGCTGACGATTTGAAATTCGTTAGACCTGTTAGATCGTCAGCTGACTCCCAGCTTATTCAAGCCGATCTTGATAGATTGATCGAGTGGTGTACTCAAAACAGTATGCTTCTGAATGCTAAAAAGTGTCATCATATGTCGTTCACTCGCAAACATACTCCTATCCAAACTACATACAAAATTGGCAATACAGTACTCAATCAAGTAG